AATATTTACCTTCTTCTCTATATCTAATAGAGTCTTCTTCATTCTTCATTATAGCGTGCAGAGGAGGCATCTGGGATCTGACCATATTTTGTAGGATATGCCCAACGAGAGCTTCGCACTCTTTTTGTAATCCGTATCCAACATGCGATTTATTATTCTGTTTGAGAGTGAGTACAAGCTCCTTCGCTATCTCCATCTCTTTTGTCGGCAATTCTTAAGATATTTTGTTATACTTGAAAAATGTTAGATAGAATCTTCCCTCTTTTCTTTTTATATTTTAAATTTGCCACGTATTATTAATACTATGCAAAATACATATACACACACAATATATAAATTATAAAAATAATAAATTTTTATATATATATATATATATATAAAATAATAAAGAAAAGATTTGAAGCGTCCTTCAAAAACTTATTCACTATTTTTATTTGTATAATGTTCGAGTTTTATGCTTATTATTAAGACTTTAAAGATTTTATTTTTATGTATAATATATTAAAACTATTAATATATGTTTTATGTAAACACTATAATGATTACGTTATGGATCACGATATTCAAAAAGTTGCCCTTAGACAGTAACAGAAGCTATGGTAGAACATGTACTGAGAACATTGAAGCCGGTGAAACTAAATTTATCTCAAGCCGGATGACAGAAAAAGACTATGCGGTGCAGGAATTACTTGAGCATTCATTATGCACAAACGATTGACCAAAAGTAAAAACGTAGACAACAAATTCTCCTGTAAGTGAGCATTGTACTATGTATATCTCTATATATAATATCACTGCACCCATTTTCTATGGTTGCTTGAATTCATTTTATAGAATTTATCTATAAAAATATATTTATGTGATTAAATAAAGACTATTTATTGAGTCTTAAAATTTTTGAATTTACTTTCCTTGTAAATCCATATTCATTTATAACGTTTGTTAATATAAATATTAATATGAATGATTATTTATTTTACATATCTTTAATTTTTTAAATTTAATTATACTATATTATTCAATAATATATCATATTTACTTATATACATGTTTATTTACATAGCATTATCATGTTCAAATTATGATAGTTACTCTGTCTGTAATGTCTATTTTAATTAACAAATAATTATAATACAATATTTTAAATAATGTATATATAATGTTTAATTGTTCGAACTTTATAAAGTTAGTTCAGTTTTAAAATACAAAATAAAACATTATTGAATATTCTTAATTGTTTTTGTACTGCTATGCTAATGAGATCAAATTGGCAATTATCCAAATATCAGTTCTATCCTATGCAATATTTAGTCTGTGTTACTTAATCTTTAGGCTCAGTTCCATTGGTAATTTTAGTTAATTACCTTTGGCAATGCTCTAATCCGTTTTATTATCGATCAATATTTTTATAAACTTAGTTATTTTTAATATCGAACATTTGCATATGTTAAAGAAAGAATTAAAAAAAATAAATAATAAATTGAATATATTTTATTTTTATTTTTTATTACATTACGAGATATCGATTTATAAGTGAAAGGTAATTGTGGTAACTCATTTTGTGAAGAAATTAGGATTAGCTTTGATAGGAAAAATTTTACAAGGCCAAGATTACTTGGTATACAAGTTTGTCAAAACTAATTTTTATGAAACATATGGTTGCAAGTAAACATATGAGGTATTTAGGTAAAGCATTTCGGGAATTCATATTAATTGCCCGAGTACCATAGCTATTTGTGATAAATATGGCCGAAAAGTGTCAAGCGGCATGATCATTCTGATTTTTTATTCATATTTTATATGGATATTATATCAAGAATTATTATAATTAGAAAGCAAAAGTTTCAAGCAAAAGAAATAAATTCTGTTTGTAATTGTACAGTTAACAGTACACTGGCAGAAACTAATCGCATCGCGATACTCAAACAGTTAATATATTAGCACTTCATAAATATGTGACTGTATGTACATATTATTTATTAACTATAATTTAAATGAACAAAATTTTATCGGCGAATAATATAAAATTTTCAATACATAATGGTTGTAAACATGTGAAAGAAGAAAAAAGAAAAATGAAAAAAAAATATTATTCTGATTCTTCAGATTCCAAGTTAATACGGCTACCAAACTTTGCGTACAATTGTGTTTTTAATTCACTCATGATGGTTTTCAAATCTGCACATTTGTTTTCTAATTTCACAATCTCTTCTTTTTTCTTAGTTTTAGCTTCCTCCAAAGAATTCTAAGAAAAAAAGATATCTATTAAGTATTGATTGGATACAGAAATAAAAATATTAACAGCATAAAATTGAATAAAAGTAAGAATTAAACTATTTGAGATTTCTGACATAAATATTGTTAAAAATTATAATTATTATATGATCACCTGTGTCTTTTCAAGACAATGATAGACAAATACTTCTCCAATATAATAAGGTATTTTTACATCGTCATCCATAAGAGCCAGTTCATCGGAAGCATCCTCCAAATTCTTCAATTCGTTCTATTGATTGCAAATGACCGATTATTGCCCATAAATTACATAAAATTTTTTCTTGACCAAATAAGGTCAATAGTCATAAAAAATGAATCTTTGATTCTTTTAATTTAATTACCTGTTTTACTCTAAGTTCTTCTTTATAATCTTCTAACTTCGCGTTTTGCCTGGCGAATTTATTAATTTTTTGTTGCTCTTCATAGGTAATATGAACATCAGAATCCTTGCAAAACAAGGCAAAAAGCAGGAAACAGATTAGATCACAAGTGCTTTGACATATTATGCTCTATTAATTTCTGGTAGTTTATGTATTATTATCTTACCGGTTGAAATCCAGTTTGACTATTTTTTCCTCCCGCCATAATTAAGTTTTTTTTACAATTAATTAAATTGTTGCATTAAATTGTTTAAATCCAAGCGGGAGGTCGGAACTTAACCTTGTTTCACAAAAGGACCCACGAGCGTTGGTAACGCCATCTGGAATTTCAGTATAATCAATTTCAAATAATCGAAAGCAGCAGAGAGGATGCAAGGGTGATCAAGACGGACAGTCGTGTCCATATCGTCCGTCTTTATCACTCTTGTGTCTAGCACGGAAGAGAACCACAAAATCGTGTACCTTACCTACCGCGAATAAAGTTCCAGCTAAAACGCGGCCACTCTCAAGCCTAGTCTACAATGACATAACATAAGGCTGTAAGGCGTGGTTGTAAGAACCTAAATGAATTATTTTCATTTCTTATGCTTAACAACCTTACGTCATAGTATACAGCACAGTTATACATAAGAATTGTTAAGCATAAGAAATGAAAATAATTCATTTAAGTAGAGTCTTACAACCACGCCTTATAGCCTTATAGCCTTATGTTATGTCATTGTAGACTAGGCTTCAGGGTCTATCCAATCGCATTTTACATGTATCTTTATGATAGAAATGCGATTGGGTAATTTTCCTTATACATATGGTTATGCTGCTATGCAAGTTTGTCTGAATAGGCTCTTAGGCTTCTCTCTGTTAAAACTCAAAAGTAGACAAGTTAGTTCTTTTTATCTTTTAGATGAGATTTTTATCATAATTGCATTTGATAACAAAACAACAGGATGAACATAAAAGTCTGTAAAAATCATGCAATACATAGTTCAGACAATTCATTATCGAATTCGATAAATTCAAGAAAGCAAATAATCTCATATAAATCTAATTTACAATTCGCAATATATATTTCCTGTGGGGGGGGGGGGAATAATAAAAATGATTTTTATTAGGATATAAGAGATATTAAAAGGATATTAGATATAGATATTTGATTATTGACTACAGAAAACCACGTTGTAAGTCTGCTAAAAATAGTGACACGTAATTGGTAATAAAAAAAATAATTTGAATTTTATTTCATACATAGAAATTTAGCAAGATCCTGCTTGCTGAGGAATTGATTTTGATTCTATTTATTTATTAATCTAATTTATATTATGAAATCCTATGAAGCTTTTAATTTTAATCTTAAAAATAAAATACAAGGAACATAATATAATTAACAGGTCTATAATTAAATTCTTTATATAATTTATTGCAATCTAATATGTACAATAATTAAAGATTAATATTTTTTTTTATTCTGGAACGTAAAATCCTTTAAAACATTAGGTTTAGACTGAGTGGATGATTGGAATAAACATTTCTCCACTTTTCTTTTTAACATTAATACTCTAGTGGACTTTAATTTTCTATTTGGCACATTTTTCAATGCCTCGTTCCAATCTCTCGTGTGTCTCAGGTCCAACATTATTTTCAACGACTGATTGATCGTGAGATTCTTTGACGAACTACTACCCCACTTAAGATACTTATCTATAGGAAATTTGGCCATGCAAATGCCTTCCTTTTTGGCTTTTGCCAAAGATAATGGTTGTGAATCAGCCTATAAACAAAAATTTGATTTAATATATTCATCTGTTCTTTCTTATTTTGCATCAAGAGTCTCTTTCATCACACTTCAAACATATATTTATTTTATTTTAAATACAAGTGTATCAGTTTAGTTATAAAAAAAATTTGTTATCTCTTCAATTTACCTTGTCTATGTATGCACCTATAATATAGGTCATATCTGGATCATATTCAGTTAGTTCCGTCCGACAATGTGGAGTAAGATATACCAACTGATTTTTTGGAAATATATCTAAATAAGACTGTGATGTTATAACCACTGGAAAATCATCGTTTAACAAAGTAGGTATATTCTGATGAAGGTACTGCTTAAGTAATCCGTTGTAGTTGAAGTTGCATAGATAAAGGCACAGAGGATTAACATGAATACGATTATCGGCAAATGCTATGGATATTTGTTTGGCGCAATTATGTATCTCCCGTTGGTTCATGTAATCATCATAACCACAATCAAATACTATCTTTGGTTCAAACATTATATTCTGAATTAATTTGCCATTGTAGAAACGGTTAATAGTTGATTCATAGATACGCATAAATAATGTATTATATAGGAGTCCATATTTCATTTCACCCGTGTCCTCAGATTCCATCTCCTTTTTTCTAGCAAACTCGGCTTTTTTCAACTCTTTCTTCGCTTTATTCTTTTCTTTTAATGTCTCTTTAGTCCACAAAAAGTCAAGATATTTTCTGTATGAAAAGAGAAACGCATCTTAATCAGAGGAAATCAACGTTTAATTTAGAAACACCTGAAATGAAAATGGAAAAATAAAAAACCTACTTTCTCTTTGTCTTGCTCTTCATGTCTAATAGCATCAACCAATCTGTTGCTGTAATATTATTTGGAACTTTCTCGGCATTATGCCGCAAAACGTCAACCTCTAGTTCTAATATTTGAAAGCGTTTGTTGTTCTCGGGGTCGGCCAGAAATGCGTGCAGCTTCTCCTCGTTCAATTTATCATTCCAGTTTTTCAGGTCGGCACTCGTTACATTTTGGTCCTTGATCGCTATCTGAGAGTAAAGTCGTCTATATGTGTTATTCAAATGTGCTTTCGCACTGAAACGGAGTTTGGATGATGACAGAGCTTCCTCATGAACAGACCGCACTAAGAAATTCCCAACCGAGATGAGCAGTCTTCGCCTCACACTATTAAACATTTTATAGTTTAATTATCGTGCAATCAGACATAAGTAAGAATCGTCGTTTCGTCGGAAACCACGCGAGTTCTTAACCTGTAATCAAAGACAAATCACATTTATGGCTTGAGAATCAACATAAGTGTCGGTCCACAATAGGTGATTTAAGCTTTAAGAAGTAAGAAATTGACCAATTATAATCGAATATGAAAAGATAATATAATCGACTATGATTGGTCAATTTCTTACGACTTAAAGATTAAATACTTATTGTGGACTGACACTATTGTAGACGCACAATGCGAACAAACCTAAGTAATCGGTCCACAATAAGTAATCTTT